GGGCACACAAGCTCCACCACCACGTCAAGGTCCTGTACTCCCTAGGTGGGATGATGAAATGGTACGTAATATAAATCTGTACAGTCTAAGAGAATGAGCATAGGGGAATCGCGTTTTATATTTTTTTCAAATGTTAGAAGGAGATCTAGATTAATTATCAATGGAACTCGACTCTCTGAAAAATTTAATTACACTCAATTGTTTCACAAGACATTTAATAAAAATATATAATAGTATTGTAGCGTCGTGCCACGCTCAATTATGGATGTTGAACAAAGGGCGGAGTGATGACACACTGGGACTTTCCTTGGATGTAGCGGGCCCAGAGCGGCTTTGAGGAGGAGGCAATGGGGGCGGCGGGTAGAGCCAAAATGGCCAATATCAGGCAAGAAGAACAATGCCCCAATCTTCTCTTGCTACCGGCGTCGGCGACAGGTAAAGCGCGTGTCTGTGCGTGTAGGTGCACAAGGGCGAGGGGCCGGCAATTCATTGTCGTGACTTCCGAGACGCGTAGATGGTCTCAAAGTAGAGCGCTTCATACACGGGAACATCGGTGGTATGTTGTGGTGTGGTAGCCGTTCTTAAATTATCTCTCCTTGTAGTGGTCTATTTAATTTCAGTTTATTGTGAGCAGGGTAGTTGTTAAATTGAGACTACGGTCTAGATTGTTAATAAAACCTACTGTTTTATCAAACTGTGTTCGATTACACCCGTATGACGCCACAGTATTTACATTTCTCTCAACTCGCATTTAGCTATTATGTTCATATACTTCTTTTCTCTTAGTTAGATAGGTATGTTTTTGAACACTCACACGTATCATTTGAGGGTCATTGCTTACCAGCCTCAATATGATGTTGAGCGCGAATTTGTCAAATCAAAGATTTTTTTGAAACAATATAAAAATAGAAGTTTAATGTTTCTACCAATTTACTAAAGTAAACTGTAATTTAATATTTTATATATTTTCAAAAGTTATATGATGTTCTGAATTGAAGCATTTGAATCATAAGTATTTTTAAGTGATTTTTTAATTCGTGTTAAACTGTTTTTAAGAAAATACATACATTTAACTTTTCCTTCAAATTTCTGTACTGCTTCCCATCTCTCCCCCCGCTTGTTCGCCATTTTTCGGAAGCATGGCAACCCTTTATGCCCTTAAAATGTCCATGATGGCCGCGGAGAGAGACTGGAAGTCTGTCTACAATGGCGCACGTTGTACTTTTGATGGGAGACGCTGCTGGCTCGAGTGGCACTTCCAACCTCACGTAATGCAGTTCCATTCCGACTTCATGCCAAACGCGGCGCAGCTTGTGCGCTAATTTCTAACAGCCTCGAACAATTGCTTTTTCACATCGCGGTCCAAAATTTGCAATAATATTACACTTTCAACCTATGCGGCGAAACGAACGACGTAAGATTCTATAACCCGTTGTCTCGCGCGATCCTTTTTAACACGACGAACTTTATACAACTGTTCACAGGAACGGCTCTCACAATACTCTCTTCTTTTTGGGAGAAATGAGATCTGGTCAGTCCGTTCCCTCGCTTTTTTTATAGTGGCGAATGGCGATCGCGTATTACTTGTCAATTCATGCAAATTTTGGTCTTCGCTGTCCCTCTCCGTCTCTGTCTTAGCTTGAGGGGTAGCTCTCGCGTCAAGCGACAGACGCCCTAGATTCCAATTCTGGTGTTCGCGGATCAACTTCGGAACCTGCAGTCCCTTTGGAACTTCGGTTGACACGCTATAAACGTGTTGACTGCCTGTGGCCATCTACGCTACGGCAACGTGGTGGACCACAGCACAGAAGTACAAGGATACACTTGAGCTAGTATAGAACAAAGTTCTTCTGCTCATAGCACGTCCACCGTATCGGAAACGGTTGAAAGTACTGAGTATGGAACTTGATATCGGGTCCTTCACTCAATGGTTGTGATGGATTACGTTTAATGAAGCCTATAAAGCATTTCAAACCAACGAAGTTTCGGCAACGCCAAAACAATTAGCTCGACACGTCCGCACGATGGAACAAAGAGGACAGGCACTCCCCTCTGATATTGTGAGGGCGAATTGCAACACAAAAGCCGATTTGGTTATTGGCTAAGGTCCAACGAAACCCCACACCAGCCACGTATACATAGCAGTAAAACGCGAAATGACACAACTGCAATCACAAACCTTCGGCTAAGCCGAAAAAAACCAACATCGCACGTGAATGTCATCTTTTTCACCGCCAGAGTTAGAATGCACTATGAACGAATCCACACTTAAGAAGTTACCCGCTTCAAACGAGCCAACAAATGAAGTATTTTCTGCGAAGGTTACATGAAAGTACAGTAGGGACAAAAGAAATATCGCCAATTTTTTTTCTTACGAAGTTTGCAGAAGAAAGTTCTCTGGGTACGTGCCAGACAGGTAAAGCATACCACGGATTGAATATTTAAAGCTATATAAAAGATAACAAATCTACAACATTTCTATTACATTATTTAATGAAATGAAATATGAAACTGTTGGTTATTGTTATAATATAAAGACAGAAATATATTATAGTCGAAAAGAAGACACCGTTGAATGATAGAAAGAAAATCATGCGATGCACATAAATTTATTGCTACTGAGAACAACAACTATTTAAAACAAACGTATTACAGTTATGCTGGCAAATTACTTGAAATGGTAATATTAGGTTTTTACTATATCCGTTCACTATTTTACTATTTCCCCTAGAAACGTTTCTTTCAATACGTTATCCCTCGGTTCGCGGGGCGTTGACCTACAGCGCTTTCGGCGTCGCTCGCCGTTACCTTACGCTGCACTATATAAAACCGTTCTTTGCCTTGTGATTGTATAGACAATATTACTCACTCGCTCAAACCTCCGCCCGTTAGTAACACAGTTATTTTATTCAACCACAAAAGCGGCGTAGTTTATGCATATATTTCTGAGTTCAAAAAACGATGAATTCTTTACACCACAACCGGAGACGAGGATTCACAACAGTATTTCCTTCACTAAACGCGTGATGGACCAAAGGCAACAGTTTTTCACACGACGGATTGCACACAATTAAAACGCTTCAAGCTGATCCGACTAGTTTTCGTTAACGGAATTCAGTGGACCGTATTTCCAATTACTTTCTTCAATCAATTTCACTAGACTTTTCAAGAATTTTCAGAGAACTGTTCAATTTCTCAAAACAAAAAAAAAAATCACCCGTTAGTTCCCTCTTTTAAAGGTGAGAGCCAACAGCGGATTCCAGTTTCTTATCTTTCCCCCTAATTTTTCCATTGACCATCGAACGTACCTTTGCTGACGTGACCTATCCTGGCATCAAGCGTGACGTCGCTGTCGCGAAACATTTGATTTCACGCGAGTGCAGACCAACCTTGCAAGAAGACGATTCTGGGTTTTCCTTGCTGACGTGAGGCATATACGTAAGCTAGTGTGTGTGTTGTCTCCCTCTCTCTCCTCCTCTCTCTCTCTTTGTGGTATATATA